CCCAAGGAGGCTGTGGCCCCATGGGAAGCCCATGCTGGAGCAGGCTCCTGGCAAGACTTTGTGGACCCATGGGGGAGGAGCCCACGCCAGGGCATGTTTGGTGGCCGGGCTGGTGACCCCATGGGGGACCCAAGCTGGAGCCGTCTGCTCCCAAGGGGCTGCGCCCCATGGGATGGACCCACGCTGGAGCCATCCATGAAGAACTGCAGCCTGTGGGAAGGATCCACATTGGAGAAGTTCCTGAAGGACTGTCTCCCGTGGGAGGGACCCCATGCTGGAGCAGGGGAAGAGTCCTCTCCCGAGGAGGAAGAAGTGGCAGAGTGATGAACTGACCCCAACCCCCATTCCTATCCCCCTGCACCACTGGGGGGGAGGAGGGAGAGAAAATTGAGGGTGAAGTTGAGCCTGGGAAGAAGGAGGGGAAAGGTTTTAAGATTCAGGTGTTTTTATCCTCTCCTTATCTGATTTTAATAGGCAATAAATTAATTAATTTCATCAAGTGGGGGCTGGGTTGCCCGTGATGGTAACTGGGGAATGACCCCTCCCTGTCCTCATCTCCACCCACCAGCCCTTGGATCTACTTCCCTCTCCCCTCTCCAGTTGAAGAGGGGAGCAATGCAGCAGCTTTGCTGGGAACCCGTGGTCCAGCCAGGGTCACCCCACCACATATTCACCCCTACCTGTGGAGGAAGGACCACACTTACTCGTGGAGCAGAGGGCGGACGACGGTGCTGCCGTGAGCGTGGGCTTCATACATTAACGTGTAGAGATAGGGTAAGAGGGTGTATCTGGTATTTAGCACTTTCCTGGAAAGGTCTTCAAACGTTGAATTCCAGGCAACGGGGTCTTGCCTCTAAACAAGGGAAGAGAGTCTCGTCTTATTCACGTGGGATTATTTTGCTGGGAAGAGCGCCGGGCAGGAATGTTGATCTGCTGGGGGGGAGGGGGCTCTGCAGAGGGACCTGGCCAGGCTGGATCCATGGGCCCAGCCCAGTTGGGTGAGGGTCAACAAGGCCAAGGGCTGGGTCCTGCCCTGAGGTCACAACAATCCCACGCAACACTACAGGACGTTGCCCATCATCCCGTTGCCCCTTCCCTGGGAGCAGAGCCCGACCCCCCCGGCTCCCCCCTCCTCTCAGGCAGTTGTAGGCAGCGATGAGGGCTCCCCTCAGCCTCCTCTG